TGCCCGCGGGCCGTACCTGTCGGAGGGCGCGCAGCGAGCGGCCCAGCGCGCGGCCGAGGCAGCGGGACCGCCACAGCGGCACCATCGCGGCGGCGGCGGCGGCGGCGGGAGGGGCCGCAGGGCGGACACCGGAACCAGGCCCGGCGCGAGGCGGAAGCGCGGGGGGCCGGACCAAGCGCCCAGAGCGGGGGGAGCAGCCGGGGCGGGACCATCGCGGCGGGGCCGGGCTGCGGAGCCGAGCTGCGGAGCCGGCTGTGGGGCACGGCCGGGCTGCGGGGCAGGGCCGGGCTGTGGAACAGGGCCGGGCTGTGGGGCTGTGGGGCAGGGCCAGGGCCAGGCTGTGGGGCACGGCCGGGCTGCGGGGCAGGGCCAGGCGGGACGAGGCCTGCTCATAATATTGCTGTGTGTTACCATATACGTAATAATATAGGTATTAGCACATCCTGTATAATATATATGATATTGAATACTATTACTTATAGATGACATACATATATCTATGTATTACATATGCTTATATAAACACGTATGCGTACATATAGATGTTATTATACATAGTGGCATATATATATGTGTATAAATAACCCCGTGCATTATGAGGAGTGCCGTTTCATGAGCTGTGCTCTGAAGCAGCCCTGGGTCACTGCAGGGCAGCTGTGGCCGTGTTTTCCCTGCTCGCCTTGGCAAACCGCGGCGCTGAGCCCGTGTGAGATGACATTGCCGCAGGCATCACCCCGTGGGATGCTGCATGGTTAGAAACGGGCAATGAGGTCATTCACCATGGCAAGCAGGAAAATGAGCCCACAAGTAAGCCCTGTTCCTCAGCTGTGCTCTGTATGTTGAAAACATTTGAGAATTCCCCAGCCAGCTTCTGTTTTCTGCCTGCTTCCAGGCAGGGAACCACAAGTGGAGGAAAACCCAAGGAACCTATTTACAGATTCTGAGAATCAGCCCAGGACAGTTACAAAGGGCTGTCTGGCAGCCAGGCATCTCTCAAGGAGCCAAGTCTGGGTTATGCACATGTGCTTAATTTAGCCACTGCTTAATAATATATGAATGGTTAACTGCAAGCTTCAAAATATGAGACCATTTTCAAAGGAAAGAGGTTGAATAAAAATCAACAGGGGGTAGTCTCCGAGGCTTTGAGGATGACCTGACTGCTCAAATAAAAGGTAACTGAGCCAGAAAGGCTCTCTGCCAGGGGTTTCTCTGTGATCTGTCTCTCGAAGGCTAATGTCCTTGCCTTGAACAATATTGACCACCTGATGTCAACTGCCTTTAAGCACAGCCTCCTGCCTCCCCAGTGAATACACCAGGCATTGCCATGCTCAGTTAGCCTGTGGAAGCACAGCAGATGAAGCCCCAGGAGTGGCATGCATGGCTAGGCTTTGCCCACCCACCCACAGCTCCTGCATGAGGATAAGTGTCTGACAACCATGTGTGCTGCTGGGGCAGGTGGGTTTGTCCTGGGGCTGGGGTCAGGATGTGCTCAGCTGGGAGTGATGCCAGCTCTGCTGGTGCTGTCTGTAAAGCACCCTGTGACAAACAAGGGACTCCGTGCTGCTGCTTCTCCTGTGTGGTCCCATTTTTTGCCCAGGTCCTGTGCTGCAGACCTCCAGGACAGCCAAATTGCCTCCGTTCCCCCATGCTGCGGGATGTGGGAAATGCCTGGCCTCCTTCCATGGAAGATGGGTAGCTGGTGGGATCTGGGCCAGCTCCTTCCTTGCCGGTGGCACGGCTTGTCAGCCTGCTATGTTTGCATTGTCTCACCAACATTTCATTATCCTGGGTCCTGAATGGGGCTTGCGGCCAAATTCCAGGCCAAAATTGCTCCTCTGGGCCTCAGCCCACCTGGGCAGCCAGCACCTCGGCACCTGATAGCCCTTGCCTGACTGGCTCCAGGGGCTACGAGTGCGGCACACAGCAGGGAAGGTGGCCGGACGCTGGTGTTGGACCTGACCTCCTGGCTGTCCATCTGCATATTCAGAAGTCGTTTCCAGCTGGTTGGCTGCCTCTGGCCTCCCCACTCCCTCTTTAAAGGCCCTGAGCGCGGCGGGAGGACCCGCCGGCACTGCCTCTGCGGCTGCCCGCGCCCCGGGGCTGCCTGCGGGCACCGCGCTCCCGGGGCTGCCCGCGGGCACCGCGCTCCCGGGGCTGCCCGCGGCTCGGGCACCGGTGCCCCCGCCCAGAGCCATGCCGGGGAAGGCTCTGCGGGGAATTGCCGTCCGCAGGGACAGCCCGCCGCTCCGTGCACGGCTGTCCCACCGAGGAGCACCCAGGGAGCCCACGAGGGGCGGCTTCAGTTTTGGAGAAGGCACACTGCCCTCGTCTTCTGAGCATCTTCGTTCCGTTCCTGTCTTTTTCTTCAGGTAGGAGAAGTCTCGGCCGCTTTTTAGTGTTCTGGAGGGTGGCACTAGTGAAAGCTGCCAGTAAGAGTGGGAACCAAAGCACGCACCCGCTAACTTCGTGGGGAAAGAGCTGCAGCAGCAGGAGGAGTTTGCTTAGGGCAGCACCTGCTGGTCCTGGGGATGCTGCGAGGGGGAGCCAGGGCCACCCACAGCGGGCTGCCGTGGCCTGGGACGGGAGGCTCTGCTCCCTCCCTCCAAACCTCCAGAAGAAAGACGGTGATGCTGGAAACCTCAAGCAGGTGGAGGTCACCTTGCCAGCTCTGAGTTGATCTGTTTAAAAGGAATGTATCACAGGTTCCAGGGGACTGGGAAACAGCCCAGGGGACAGACAAGTTCCTGACTGACCCTGCTCTTGAGCACAGCAGATGAGAGAAATCGTGAGCAAGTGTCAAAATAAGGTGTTTCTGTAGAAAAACAAGTGAGGTTACAGAACCACACCACTGAGGAAGGACTAAGGCTGGATGAAATCTGTGACTGCAGTGTGTTTGCTGTGTGACTGTGCTGGGAGCAGAGGGCAGGCTGAGAGGCAGCTGCAGGCAATGCTCAAGCTTGTAACACAAGGGCAAGGCAGGACGGTCAGAGCTGCTGGCACCCCAGCCTTGTGCTGGCTGAGGATAAACTGAGCACTTTGAAAGGCCCTACACCAGACTCTTGTGAAAATGAAACCCTAATGGTCAGGATGGGTGGGGAGGCAACAGAGATCAACATGTGGTGTCAGATAACCCAGAAAATACTTGGTTTGTCAAGACTATGGCTCTGCAAAAGGTAGAGCCTCCCAGGCACCTGCCTGGAATTCAGGGTGTTTGAAGAAAGGCAATCTGCGAAAAACCCTGAGAAGAAGCCCATGTTCTACACTGCCTGGAGGACTCGGCCTGGAGCAGCTACAGGGACAGGAGACTGATGGTGTTGAAAATGATCAGGTATTTCTGGGAACAGCAAAAGAATCTCAGACTTTAAAGGTGTCCGGAAAAGACAAGAGCTGCCCTAATTTAGCGGTGCAAAGCTGCCGCTAATTAATGAGGATAAGGAAGAAACATCCCTCAGGGATGGTTACTGTGTAATCGCCCAGGATACAATGTTTTACACTTTTGCAAAGCTGTGCAAGCGGGGAGTGAGCGGAGGGGGCGAATCCCTGCTCGGAGCCAGCATGACAATTTTAAGCCTGGGGCTGCTGGCTCAGTATTTTTTCTCTTCCCTGATAATCCCCATCCTCATTTCGTTTATTCAGTGTTTTGCCAAGCCCTTAGGGACCCCATGTTGCATTAGCCTGACCATCTCGATGCATCCTGCTCACAGCAGGTCACATTGCACTTTTACCCTCTCCGTGCCCTCCTGCACCGGGCTCTTTGTGCTGGCCCAGCCCGCAGGTGCTGCCCCCCATCCCCGAGCCCCGGGGGCTCTGTGGGGGTGTCGGGGCCAGCAGAGCCGGCAGCACCCATGGCCCAGGTGCCTGTGTGAGTACCTTCACCAGGGGTGCAGCTGCTCCCCTGCGCTCTGCCAGCACCCAGGAGTGCCAAACCCACCCTTTGCCCGGGCGTACGTGGCAGAGGGCTCTGCCTGCTGCTCCCTCCCCTCACAGCAGAGTCCACAAGCCCAGAGGGCAGTCTCCCCAATGCCTCTGGTGCAGATGCAGCTGGTGATGCATGAGGTTTGTGCTGCCAGGCACTGCCGGGCCCGAAGCAGGTTGTGAAAAACGCCAATCACTTGATTTTAAAATTTTAAAAGTTTAATAGTACTAAAATGGTTATAAAAATAGTAATACAATTAGAGTGATAATAATTTGGACAATTTGGATTAGGACAATATGAGACAATAGTAACAAAGAGTTACAGACATCTGGGTACCTTTTTCTGGGCAGCACAAGACCAAAAAAGGACCCTCGTTAACAAAGGATTAACCCTTAAAAACAAAAATCTGTTGCATATTCATACACCCCATACATGATGCATAAATTCCATTCAAATACAGGATTCTGTCTGGTCATCCTCAACTTCTTCCTCTGAATCCCAACAGTGCCTTCGAGGTGGGAAGAAGTTCGCTTCTTCTGATAAGAGGGCAATAAATTCTTTTTCTCTGAAAGATTTAGGTGTCTTGTGGCTGCTATCTCGCTGCGAGTCCTTTCTTAAAAAAAAGTATCCTACATAGCATAGTTTCTATTCCAACATTTTTTTCATAACCTAAAACTATATTTAACACACTACTCAAGAGAATTAATACAGCATTACTTTCTAACACAACACATATAATATTCATTTTAGTATGAATTTGTTGTGAAAAGCCAATCATAAAATACCCATTTTTCACAAGGTGAAATGTACTTTAGGGATGATGAATGCCTGGCTGGTAGGTGGGTGGTGGGGTGGTGCCCAGGGCATTGCTGCTGTCATGTGACATCTGACAGTCTGCTCACAGGTTTTGCAGTGCCTGGAGGTTTCTGTCTGGGTCATTCCCTGGTGAAATAGTTTTTGCAGGGGAGCAGGGATGCCATGAAAATCTGGGAGAAAAAAAAATCTCTGGCCCTGTGCTTGGAAAACTGCTGTATGAGGTCCTGTTTCTTGCTCTTTCTCCAGTTCCACAGCACTAGCAGGCTGAAACATCAAACATCTGGAAGGCTGCAGTCTGTCCAGGCAGGAAGAAGAAACGATGGACAGCAGCACTGGCTTTGAGCGGGATAGAGACCGTGCCGCTTCAGGCCATGGCCAGGGGCTGAAATTGGAGCCCTGTTTCCAGACTGACTCTCTCTTGCCTTCCCCCAGTGCATCCCTGATTCCACAGCTCCTCAGCCACACAATGGTTGGCAGAAACTTGGATCCCACCGTTCTCTTCCCTTCCTCTCAGGCAGTGGCCCTGCCTCATGACTACGAATGTGGTGCAAGTCTTGGAGAAGAAGCACAAGCCCTGGCTTTCCCCAGGACCCGCGCCCCAGCTCCCCTGCCCTGCACTGGTGGTGGGGACCAGCTCTCTGACCAGCACCTACGAGCCAAGCGGGCCAGGGTGGAGAGCATCATTCAGGGCATGAGCCTCCCACCAACCCCGCAGGCATCTGACACAAGCCTGGGGGCAGCTTTTGGGCATGAGAGGGAAAGGGGTGGGGAGATGCCCCAGGAGAGCAAGAGGAAGCCAAGAGTGCCCCAGCAGGGCATGGGGGCAGCTGGAAGAGTGCCTCACACAGGGGGCAGCTCCCATGCCAAGGGCTGCCAGCAGCTGAAAGAGCAGCTCTGCTTCTTAGAGCAGCAACTGAGGTGGCTTCAGGAGAAGTTCTACCAAGTCTGTGACACTGAGGATGCTGCCCAAACACAGGAAGATTCAGAGATAGTGCAGCCACTGCCTGGAAAGCCCCAAGACAGACTGAACAAGGACAGTGGCACTGCCACCAGCAACCCACACCGAGTGCCTCTCAGGAGGAGTGTCCTGGAGGCGTGTGGGCTGGAGGAGGCTGAGGACACAGGTGACACAGGTGGCCTGCCCTCGGCAGTGAGGGTACTCTCACAGGCACTGAAGCACGAGCTGTCTGTGGTGACATGCCACGTAGTGGACTCTGTCCTGAAGACTCTCTGGCCAAAGGCAGACAGCCACATCCAGAAGCAGCACCACAGCCCTCCAGTGCTGGGGCCAGATGCCAGGAGAGAGTATTCTGCTGGTGGGAAATGCAGAAAGCCACTTGCTAAGCCATCTGCCATGAATGCACCAGGCTCCCTGGGCTCACCCCAGGCTGAGGCCCTGACAGGAGCTTCGGGGAAGAGCCTGGGCTCTTATGCTGCCTCCTTCAGCTCAAAGGGGGTCAGAAAATCCTCTCGGGTACCCAGCATGGGTTATTCCCTGGGCTCAGCCATGCCTGTCCAGAACAGGCAGCTGTTGAGCCAGCTGTTGGGCCATGGCCAGCACAGCCCCTGGGGCAGTGACTCTCGTGAGAGCCCATCTGCTCTGGAGAGGGGTTGTCCAGAGCCCCTCAAGCTGCCCTGGGGATCTGTTAAACTGAGGTCATCGATTGCGAGCCAGCAGCAGCACCATCCCCTGCCCCTGAGCCCTGCCAGCATGGAGAGCCTGGCACTGCTGCCAGCTGGCAGGGATGGCCACGGTGAGCTGCCAGCTGCAAATGATGGAGCACCCTTTGCCTCGACCCACATATCCTTTGGGGGCAGCTAGAGGTCCCTGGGGAATGCGCTCCCCTTGTCCTCTGGAGCCACAGCTTGGCACTGCCCTACTGGTCTCCACAGGGCCAAGGTCCCTGTTCCTCCATAGGGGCTAAAGGGGTGTGGGCAGGAAAGGAGCCCTAAGCCACGGAGGGGCACTGCCACTCCTCAGGGCTGGCCAGATGTTGTAGCATAGCTGTGGGTACAAGCCAGGAGCTACCAAGCCTCCTCTTGGGCTGTACTGGGGGTCCTGTCATCCTAAACCATGAGCAGGAGTCTCATAGTAATTCTGGCTCTCACAAGACTGTGAAGTGCTGTGGGGAGCATTAGCTTCCTCAGGGATTCTTAATGGAAAAACCAGTGGCTGTCCAGCCAAGGATGAACCCCCTCTGCCCCCCTGACAGGCCAGGAGGGGCTATGGAGGGCACTGGGCATGGTGTGCCAGGGGTGGTGCTCAGGGACATGCCGAGCTTGGGGTTGGCTACGTGCAGGCTTTCCTTGACCCCAGGGCAGATGCAGGAGGCGCTGACCCCCGGGCACCTGAAGAAGGCCAAGCTGATGTTTTTCTTCACCCGCTACCCCAGCTCCACTCTGCTGAAGACCTACTTCCTTGATGTGCAGGTAAAAGAGCAGCAGCCAGAATTGCTGCTGGGCAGGGCTCCCACGTGGTGTGGCACCTAGCCTGCCTCCCTGGGAACCATGAGGAAAGGACTGCTCTTGTGTCCTCCTGCCTTGCTGGCAGGAGATGGGGCACAATAAATAAACCCATTTATTTCAGCAAGGGCTGCCCAGGAGCAGGTGCACAGGGCAGTGGCAGACATGGGCTGTCAGCTCTTCACTCTGTGCAATCGAGTTATTCAGATTAAAGCACCCCATGGATGTGCCTTCTCACTGCAGGGCAGCTGGGATCCGAATCTCAGTGTGGAGAGCACCTGGGACACGCTGATGTCACTGCCCCAGCTTGGGGCAGGGCTGGGTTTGGGCCAGCCCAGCAGCGCCTGGCTGGGTGTGCAGGGGCTCGTGGGAAGGGAGGATCCAAGCTGGCCTAACACCATCCCCTGGCTGTCCCCCCACCAGTTCAGCCGCTGCATCACCTCCCAGCTCATCAAGTGGTTCAGCAACTTCCGTGAGTTTTACTACATCCAGGTGGAGAAGTTTGCCCGGCAGGCCCTGCTGGAGGGTGTGGTGGATGCTTGCACTCTCCAGGTCTCCCGGGACTCAGAGCTCTTCCGTGCCCTCAACATGCACTACAACAAGGGGAATGACTTCGAGGTGAGGAGGGGGATGGGGGAAAGGGGGTGGTGGTGTTTGTGGGGGTCAGGAGGCACCATGGCATGGTGGCGTCACTGGCTGGTGCCTGTCTTGCTGCAGGTGCCAGGGCGCTTCCTGGAGGTGGCCAGCCTGACACTGCAGGAGTTCTTCAGTGCCGTCAGGGCAGGCAAGGATGCCGACCCCTCCTGGAAGAAACCCATTTACAAAATCATTTCCAAACTGGACAGTGACATCCCAGAAGGGTTCAAAGCTGCTGGCTGCTCCCAGGAACTGCTCCACAGCTGAGTGTCTGTGAAAGCAGCCCTGGGTTGTGTGTGCAGCCACCATGTGCACCTCATGGGCACTCTGTACAGTACTTGTTATTTGGGGTATTCTCTCTCTGACAGCCATGCACTCTCTGTAAGACAGCTCCTTAGGTGATGCCTATCACTTCCCTCATGTGCTGGGATTTTATGCTGCATTGCATATGCTGCATTATGTGCATTTTATTCTGCTGCTCAGAACTGGTGAGGACTGCCAGAAGGGAGGGACAGAGATGAAGCCATCAGGTTGGAGCCTGAGAAGTTGCCCTGTTCCAGCTCTCCCTATGATCCTGACTGAGCTGCCTTCATTCTCTCTTCCAGAGGGTCAAAAACCAGGGCAAACAGCCTTGCTGTTTATAAAACAGGAAGAGGTCCTAGTAGTGGGCAAAGTTTCCTTGGCACAGCAGACTAGCGGATGTACCGAGTCCAAAAGCATGACTCAGTTTCTGTCCAGATACAACACACCAGTGTCCAAAGAAAACAGCTGGTGAATTCCTGCGCTTCAAGCACTCCATGGGGATAGCTGTTCCTGTCTGGGATATGTAAAAACTATGTTTGTTGTAGCCAACAAGAATAACAGTCTCCTCCACCTCCCCTGTGCTGTTAGACCAGATCCCCCCGTGCAGTTCTGTGCTGTGGCCAAGCAGTGTGTGCTCTCCAGCAGTGTTCTCTGGCATGCTGGAGGAGAGCAGGGTGCACAGCCAGCTCTGCTTGGCACTCCAAAGAGTCTCCATCAGCCCATCACCTGGGAGGAAACCCCCACGTTAAACACCCATCCACATTCCCTCATACCGTGCTCCTGCTGGCAAAACTGCCCCAAGCATCTCTGTCCTGTACTCTGTCCCTGGTGAAAGAGGAGAATGTGACTTGAGATCCATTAGTCCCTGTGGGTTTAACACAAGCTGGGGAAGAACTCGGCCTTGACATCTATAACCCCATTGCTGAAAAGGCTGTAAACTCAAGGAAGTTTCTTTACCCTGTGGCCAAGATTTAGTGACCACTTTTCTACCTGATGGAGAAGCGTTTTGTGTTAAGGGCTCTCTAATCCTGACAGACGTGGCAGTGGAGAGGAAAAGGCTGTGAAGAGGAGGGAGTCCTGACAGAGGCATGGCACGAGGGCACTGGGAGGGCAGTGATGAGCCACAAGATACTCACACAAAACCCTCAGGGAGAAGAAGACTGGGAAAAGGCCAAGGTAATTTTGGGTGTGCTGTAAGGTGTCAGCTGGTACTAGAGTGCAGCAAGTGACTCTTGAGAGGAGAATCACAGCTCCAGCATCAGTCAAGTGCATGGGGTGATCTACAGGCAATGCATCTACAGGAGTAAAGAAGTGGAAACATCAGGACATAATGGGGAACTCTGACATAGGGGCAGTTTGACAATGGGTCCCCCCATTATGAGTGTGGCCACCCAGATTTCCTGCTTCTTTTTGTATATTTATTTATCCAAGTTTGTATATTTTACACAACCAACACAAAATTTACATGATTCCTTTTTAAATAAACACATTGTTTAAGTTACCCCTTTACATCCCTGATGACCTATTTGATGATATCTGTTCTAAAGAGTTCTCCCAGAAATTTCTGGCCTTTTGTTGGGAAAAATAACACTGCAGAAAAAGGGCAGTCCTTCTGCCAGCACCTCTGTGGGGTCAAGCAGGCCCCACTAACCAAAACCAGCTCCTATAAACCTGCCCCTTCACCCCAGTGCCTCATGGTTAGTCTGCTCTGGAGTGCAACTTGTGAGGATCAGGAAGGGGGCTGGAGGTACAAAGAGACATAGCCTAAAGCTTAAGGGTGCTGGACTCAAATGTACAACATCAGATAAGTGCTGCTGCTGGTACCATGAATGTGCCATTCCTGCAGGCAATAATGACCCCAGAGCTTAAGTAATGCTTTGGATAGGCAAAACCAAAGCTGCTGGAAAGGGGAATGATGGGCTGGCTCAGGGAAGGGTCAGCAAATTCATCTGTTGTAGCTAAATAATTAGGGAACATAAGGTACAGGTTAACTGGAGGCATCCTGCTGTAACAAAGCCTTTCACACAGAGTTCCTGGTGGGGGTAGCAGTTTCTTGCTTCCTGTGGTAACATGCAAATCTATGAGCGTCAGTAAAACAGCAGATGGGGGACTGAGGACAAGACAGTGCCCCAAATCGCAGTCACACAGTGGCTGAGGTTGTAGGAGATGTCTGGAGGTCACCTTGTCAATCCCCCTGCTCTAGCAGGGCCACTGAGATGGCTGCCCAGGACCATGTCAGAGGGGTTTTAAGTGTCTCCAAGGAGGGAATGTTTGTGAAAAGGTCCTTCCCTCAAACACACATTAATGAAGACATTTAACAGGACTGGACTATTTGCAGCAGTATTTTTGCTCCAGCGGTTGCCCTATAATTACAAGTGGGAACTAGAGAGCTGTGTATTACACTGGTTTTTGGGAAATGTGGGCCAGTATGACCATGACAAATAGCATCTGGCACCAGTTATCCTTTGCCTGTGCTGAGGTCTCACTACTTGTATCCATGGGTTCAATTCTTACCATGTAGATTTCCCATCCAACAGAGATGTTAAAAAAACCCCCAAGAAACCCAAAATAGACAAACAAAAAACCCCCACAACATCCCCCCCCAAAACAACAACAACAAAACCAAAACAAACTCCCAGAAAACAAAACAAAAGGCCCCCAGGCACGGCCAGAGAGACTGCAAAGGACTCAAGATTACAGGCCACTTGCGCCATTGGCTGGCATCTTCTTTGGTAGCTTTTTAACCTCTGTCTACCTTCAGCCAAGTGCGACAGAGACCACAGAAGTGTCAGAGGTGCAGAGGTAGAATCTGCCCACCTTTTTGTCACCCTGCGGTCCTCCTGCAAGCAGAGATCCTGCCTGGGGAGCCTGGAGTGCAGCTGCCTCCTCCAGGGCCACTTGTCTGTTTGGAAGCAAGGGGGTTGCACTCAGACAGGCACAGCTCTGCTGCTGAAGCTGAGTGAGCTGAATCAAAAAGCCTTGTGCTCCTATGAGAGCCTGGGAGAGCAGCAGCCAGCTGAGAAAGAAAGAGCTCACACTGCCTTCCCTCCTACCTAAGTCACAAAGTACTGATATGGAGAAGGCAGTACCCCTGCTGGGAGGTGGGGAAAGCTGGAGTTACTCTAGGGGCAATGGAGCCTGAAGAGTGAGGGAAACAGGGTATGAATTCCAACACAATTCCAGCACTGGTGGGGTTCTGCAGGGCTCCAGTTCTCTTCAACATCTCAGTGACTTAGGATCAAAGGAATATTCAGAATACTAAGTTTGCCAATGTTAACTCCCTTGAGGGCAGAGAGGTCCTGCAGAGAGACCTCAACAAATCAGACAGATGGGCACCAATTGTATGAAGCTGAACAAGGGCAAGTGCTGGACTCTGCACCTGGGATGGGGTAAGCCTGGCTGTGTGCTTCCACCATCCTCAGAAGGTGAAGCAGAGGGGCAGGCATGGATTTCTTCTCTCTGGTGACCAGTGACAGGACTTGAGGAAATGGCATGAGGCTGAATCAGTTTAGGTTAGATATCAGGAAAAGGTGTTTTACCCCAGAGGTGGTTGGAAACTGACACAGACTCCCCAGGGAAGTGGTCACAGCCCCAGGTTTGACAGAGTTCAAGAATTATTTGAACAATGGTCTCAGACACATGGTGTAACTCTTGGGGTGTCCTGGGCAGAGAGGGGAGTTGAATTGGATGGTCCTGATGAGACCTTTCCAACTCAGCATATTCTATGCTTCCATGAAATGAAGGTTTCACTATCTGTGCTGTGCAGGGTATGCTGTGAAACATCATTTATGTTCTAGTTGTACCCAAGGCATAGAAGCTAGTTTTCAAACAAAGCCTAATGGGTGCCACCACAGAGAGAGTCCTACTGAAAAAGTGAGTCTGCTTGGAGGGCTGAGGGGAGAAGGGAGAGCTGCTGCCCACACAGAGACTATGGTCGTGACTCCCAGGCTTGGCTGGGCTCTTGCTTCACCATTTCCCACTAATTAGCCAAGGAAGTAATTTGGGTAGTGCAGTCACTACTGCTGAGTTTCATCTTTAAATAAAAAAATCCTTTCCTTCCCTCTATCCGAATTTCTGTGGTACATGCAGAAAGCCCACAGGCACTCATAACTATCTCCTCTGGGAACAATTCCTCAGGGCTATCCTTTAACATTTCCAATTGCATTCCCAGCCCATCCACAACAGCACAGAGTCCACACAGCCATACAGCAGCAAAGGCTGCTAAATATTTAAAATCACTGATTCCTGCCTCCAGGCTATGGCTGCTGAAAGAGGGAGGTGTGACCACACTGACTAAGCTGGCAAGAGCCTGAGAGCCCTTATGTACTCCTCTATGTTAATACCTACCATAAAAGCCCTTATTACTCATGTGTAGCTAATTAGAGCTCGAAGAAGTTCCTACTGAGTGTTTGCCCTGTATGCCAAAATAGTTTGGGGGAAATTGACAATAAAACATATCGGTTTTTTCTTTTATTTTATTTAATGACTTGCACCTGTCTACAGTGACTGAACCAGCCCCAGAAGGTCCCAGCTCAAAAAATGTTTGTGAAAGGGTCCTTCCCTCGAACACGCATCTTAGATTCTTATTTGACATCAGGGTAGCTCTCCACAAAAGTATCCCTTAGTGAGCCAGTGGCCCATGTTCATGAAAACTCAGTATTTGCTGTCCCATTATAAGCACTGGAAGGACAGATTAATCCAGCGTACAATTACCACATTTGAGAGATGTGACTTTTCACTGGAGAAGACAGCCCTTCCTCTGCCTCTTGTGCACAGTGCTGCCTGTGCTGCAGACCCAGCACCACCTGGGGAGAAGGTGAAGCAATGCATGGAGGGACTGTGGAGAGCAGTCTTGAAAATAAAACAGGCTGTGGGTCACTCAGAACAGACTGGTATGTCTAGCTGATAGCAAAAGCTTTTTTCCTTTTGCACACCAAGCAATAATGTATGACTTGAACCATGGA